TTATCTATGCTTTCAATGATAATGGGGGAAGGAAAATGTTATGGGACAAACTAAGAGAATATGCAAGTAGTATGGACAGGGCTAGTCCTTGGTGCTGCCTAGGGGACTTTAATTGTGTACTGAATGTGGAGGATAGATTGGGGGGTACCCCAGTCACAGACGATGACATAAGGGATTTTAAAAATTGTATAGTTGATTGTGGACTAGAAGAACTGCCAAGTGAGGGGTCTTTCTACACCTGGTCTAACAAACAGGATGAGGATCACAGAATCCTATCAAAGCTGGATAGGGTGCTTGTAAACATTGAATGGATCAGGAGACATAATACCAAAACTAAAGTACTGAATGAAGGTGTGTCAGACCATTCACCTTTACTCATTAAAGAAACCAACTGCCCGAAGAGAGGAGGATGGTTCAGGTTCTGCAATATGTGGATGGAAGACCCCAAATTTATACAAATATTGCAGAATGAATGGAAAGAGGATATGAATCAAAGGAGCATGTATCAAATTGTTCAGAATTTAAAAAGAATGAAGGTGTCATTAAGGAAGCTTCACAAAGACAAATATAAAAGTATCCACCAGAGGGTAAATGATATTAGAGATGAGTTGATGGAAATTCAAGGGAGGATTAAGCTCCATTCTGATCAAACCTTAATCAATAAAGAAAGAGATATGAGAAAACAAATGAATGAGGTCATTAAGGCATCCCGACAGCTGAAATGTCAATAAGTCAAACTAGAATGGATCACAGCGGGTGACAAGGGGTCCAAAATGTTCTTTGCCTTGGCCAAGAAGAGGCAACTTAATAATTATATCATGAGTATTGATGATGATGGGAGGGAAGTGGTAGGAACAGAAGCAATAGCAGGAGTTCTTGAAGGTTTCTACATCAAAATGCTGGGAACCACCACCTCCACTAAAGAGATTGATAGGGGGATAATTGAATCAGGAAGGACCCTAACTATTGAGCAGCAGTTAGCATTAGTGAAGGAGTTCCAGGCAGAACAGGTAAGGGAAGCTATGTTCTCTATCCCCGACTCAAAAAGCCCGGGGCCTGATGGGTATAGTAGTGGGTTTTTTAAAAAGAACTGGAATAAAGTGGGCAAACTAGTTACAAAAGCAGTGCTGGAGTTTTTTAGGGAGGATACTACCCTAAAACAGATTAATACTACTTGTATAACCCTTATTCCAAAGGTTAGCAGCCTAATGAAACCTGAAGATTACAGGCCCATATCTTGCTGCAATACTGTATACAAGGTGATATCAAAGATGATCTGCACCAGACTAAAGGAAGTGGTGCCTCATATTGTAAATCTGAACCAGTCTGCCTTTGTAAAAGGAAGAGAATTGCTCCACAATGTATTATTGTGCCAAGAATTGGCTAAAGGATACAAGAGGAAAGGAGTGACACCCAGATGTATGATGAAGTTGGATATTCAAAAAGCGTATGATTCAGTAAGCTGGAAATCAATAAAGGGTATCTTACAGGGATTGAAGTTCCCAGGGAAATTTGTTGAATGGATTATGTTTTGTATCTCCACTCCCACTTATATACTAAATGTGAATGGAGAGCAACACGGTTTCTTCAAAGGGGGTAGGGGTTTGAGACAGGGTGACCCAATATCTCCACTTATTTTTG